GCAGGGAGGGAGGAGGGGAGAGAGAGAGAATTTGTGTGTGTGTATGTGTGAGAGAGAGAAAGAGAGAGAGAGAGAGAGAGAGAGAGAGAGAGAGAGAGAGAGAGAGAGAAAATTTGTGCCAAATTCCACCTCTACGTGTGTTCAGGTGCCCGTAGAGCGATCTGGCTCTTTCAGAGTTGGAGTTATAGGTGGCTGGCTCCATGTGTTCAATGGAGGTGCTGGGAACTGAACTTGGATGCTCTGGAGGAGCAGGATGTGTTCTAAACTGTTGAGCCATCTCTCCAGCCCACTTTTGTTCAAAAACTGAACAGGGAAGGCTGTAATTTTTTTTTTTTTTTCAAAACACAATTCTAAATCAGAATCTGGGCTGCAGCGCGGGCTCAGTAGTAGTGTGTGTGGTTGGCTCACCTTAGCTTCAAGTCCCCCCGCCCCAAACCACAAAGATCAATACTAGAGATGACAACACATAAATCCTCTAAGCTGCCCTGTTATTATCAAAGCTAAAGGTGAGTGTTGGAAGTGAGACCATGAGCATCACTGTCTTCAGTTGGGTGGCTGCCACCATGTGGTGTCCTTAGGTAGTGAACACACATGTACACAGGCTGCCTGTGCCTAGCCTGCGGAGGAGAGCTTCTGGGAGTTACACTCACCACGTTATCCCACCATAACAGGCAGAGCTCACGCCTTGCACAGTAACGGAGCCGGGGGACAAGTAAAAGACGGCTTTCCGAGCAAGAGCATACCACCAACTACGGTGGCAGCAACAGCATGAATGAACTGTCCTGGCCCCTTAGTCACAGAGTGTACTGGATTGTACAGTACCCCCCAAAATCCATGACCTCCCCGAGACCTTGTGATGGTTATTTTTAAATGTCACCTTGCCACCACCTAGAAATATGTGGGAAGAGAGTCTTACTGAGGAATCACCGACATCAGACTGGCCCGTGGACATGTCGGCAGGGGACGGCCTTACTCCATGTAAGACCACTCCGAGTGTCAGCAGGACCATCTCACGGCCCTGGACTGTCAGCTGCAGTAGGCGAGCTGAGCAGCAAACAGGCCGGCAGCATGGGTGCAAAGGTTTCTTTCTCTCTGCTCTTGACCGGAGCTGTGATGTGACCAGCTGTTTGAGTTCCTGCCTTGAATTCCCCCTCAATGATGTTCTGTGACCTGCAGATGTACTTTCCTTCCCTAAGCTGCTTTTGGGTATTTTCTCATGGCCACAGAAATGAAACAGAACAGGTCTCATAATGTGACACAATTTGGAAATAGGACTGTTGTCACTAGTTAAAATGAAGTCACTAGTACTGGGTGGTGTGGTGATATATTTTGTACCCGAATAAAATTTGCCTGAAGATCAGAGAACAGAACAAGCCACTAGATTAAACAAAGAGGCCAGGCAGTGGTGGCACACACCTTTAATCCTAGCACTCGAGAGGCAGAGGTCCGTCTGGATCTCCGTGAGTTCAAAGCCACCCTGAACTACATGAGATTGACTCAGTCTAGGAGAGAAACAGAGCCAGGCACTGATGGCACACACCTTTAATCCCAGCACTTGAGATCTCATGCCTTTGCTTGGGAAGCACATACACCTTTAATCCCAGGAAGTGGTGGCAGGGCAGAGAAAGGTATATAAGGTGTGAGGAGACAGAACTAAAGCTTTTTGGCACAAGCCTTTTTGTCTGAAATCCTTTTCAGCCTGAGGAGACCTAGAGGTGAGACGTGGCGGTGACTGGTTCCTTTGTCTCTCTGATCTTCCAACATTTACCCCAATATCTGGGCTCCAGGTTTTTTTTTTATTATTAAATGGTCAATTTATGCTTCGAGCAACAGGGTGGGCCCTGAATTCAGTACGACTGTGCCGTAGGGAGAAGAGATTCGGGAGTGCAGACCCACAGTGTGACAACGGAGCCGGCTGGAGAGATCTGCCCCCAAGGCAGTGAACACCAGGGGATGCCGGCAACGTGAGCGGCTAGGAGGAGGCGGGGGGTCACAGCAGCCCCTACCAACACCTAGATTTGGACCTCTAGCCTCGCCCACTGTCAGTGAATGAACTTCCGTTTGACAAGGCACCCATCTGTACTAGTTTGCTGCAGGGGTCTGAGTGAACACAGACTACAGCTGAACCTGGAAAGGGCTCTTCCCGCTTGTAAGAAACCTGGGCCACAAAAATCATGTAAAAAGCCATCAATTCTGAGAATGATAGAAAAATTACTACTGTAACTTTCTTTTTACAATAGCCACAGTGCAGTTTAGGCTGCATTTACAGCGAAGCAGAAGGGACCGTGTATGCTTCAACATGTCACCCTGATGAACGGTGACCAACCTTTCAGGCTTAGAACAGAACCTTCAAGGTCAGAGTGAATGCCCTTGCTTTGGTTTGCGGCCATTAGCAGATGTGTCCAGCTACAAACCCTGAGCAGTGGTCCCATAGGAACGCAGAACCTGTGTGTAGCATTAGCGTCCTTGAATTCATCATTTTACACGACACCATCAAGGCACAAAGGGACTCAAGAAAGTGGCGCCAATGTCACAGAGTTTGGAGATGTGTGACCCTGGATCTGAAGTTTCTCTCTCACGCCTGTTCCCAGTCACGCTGTCTGCATACGGAAATGTGTCTGCTCTGAACAGATGGGAATGTTTAAATATCTGCTACACATCCACAGCAGAATGGGATGCCCCTACCATTATCACAGCAGCAGGAAAAGCTAATCCTACCATGAAACAGAACCACAGAGAAGTTTTGGTGTAGGAAAATGTACTTTAAGTAGCAAGCAACTAAATAAATCTGTTTCCTTGTAATCTGTTTCCAATGATCAAAATGGCCAGACAATTGTAAAATCACCCCAAGCCCAGAACTCCTAGTCAAGGATGTGCTTAAGGCACCACGTTGTTTCCACTGGCTTCTTTTGATTAACGGGTACAATTTTCCTCAAAGGTACCTTCAGAGAATGAATAGAATATAATTGTTTCTCAAGAACTCAGGCAGGCAGGGCTCCCTACCTCTGAGAGATCTCCATTTTTAACATGGATTCTCGCCATGCTGTCCAGCCATGTCTTCCTGAGCTCGGGGGTGCTGGCATAGGACTTAGCCAGGCTGTACTGGAGGTCCACCAGCATCTCTGGGTCATTCTCATGCTCCTTCATCTGGGCTGTGGCCATCAGGACTGTGCGGATCCTCTTGGTCAGATCTTTCACATCGGAGGCGAAGCTGGTGTGCTAGACAGGCGGAGAGGAGAAAGGACTCATGACTTCCACCCTCTCTCCCTGACACACACATCCCAGGATGAGGCAGACTGGGGGTGAAAACGGGAAGTTACTCACCTTGATGAGCCGGTCGCTGTTGGCACAGTTGTTGATGATGGACAAGGACTGCTGGAATCTGGTTCCTCCAATGCCAACCACGTCTGCAATCAGCTGGCTGACAGAAATGATGACCTTAGGGGCAGAAACACAAACAAATCCATTCTTCAGATGATGGTCAGGCTCAGCTTCGGGGTTCAGTTAGGATGTGCACAAAGCCGACGTGAAGGCGAGATGCGTGGGGTGGGGACCACACCAGTGTGGGGAGCAGTGGCTGAGATTCCTTCTTTTAAGCACTTTCAAAAATCACTTAGAATATGATTGTTTTCCAAATGCGTGCTGCTCATAAGTTAAAAGGTGAATCAGAAAGAGCACAGAAGAACAAGAAGCAGGTATGTCCACACCACTGGGATTGCCACTTACCCACTGCACTCTGCAGTAAGGGGGGAGACCTTATTCTCTCCTCAGTGTTTGTTCTGAGCTTATGTGGAAGGTTCTGTGCACTTTTTAACAGAACACACAGGTGTTAAATATGCGACATGCAATCTGCCCTTTCTGGAGTCTATGGATAGCATGGCCTTGACTCAGGTGTCTGGGATCAACATGGAGGCCACCCTTACTTCCTTTTCCTTCACGGGATGCAAGCACAACCATGGAGAATGTCAACTGAATCCCCTCTTCTTCCTATATCACCATCCCTCATCCAGAATATCCTCTCTGTCCTCGACTGGACAGTGTTCTCTGTGTGGACCTTCTAAGATTCGCTCTTAAAACTGAAGTTCAGGTGGGTCTTCCAACTGTACAAAGATTTGGATACATCACAGCACATCTTCTGTAATTTCTCACCTGCATTCTAAACATGAAGGGACTTCTCTAGTTTCCCAGATGGATAATTCTGATGGTGCATCCATGACCCGGAACATGTCTACTACCCTTCAACTTAGGCTCCATCCTCATCCTTCAGGTCCACAGAGAAGCCGTCCCTGCTTCCCAGAATCCCCAACCAGATCCTGGTGCCCTCAAGTTCCTCTGTGGGAACACTGGCCAACCACACTGTAAGGGCCGTGGGTTTGTCTGAGGCCTCCCTGAATGCACACTCCATGAGGGCCAGGAGAGGATCTGCTGTTCTGCTCAGGGTTGTGGTCATTAATTCTAGCACATTAGGTCTGTGGACAATGACTACGACGTTAACAAAGGGACAAAAGCAGATGGAAAAGGCTCTCCTGTCACATGCACATAAAAAACACATCTGTGAGGACAGAGTTCTTCTATTATCTCAGCTGGTTCTCAGGGCAGAGAACTCTGGATGCTTTTACTGGACACACAAGAGAGGTACTCATGAACAGAAGACAGGAAAACCTACTTTGGGGTTTTTGTTTTTTTTAAGGTATTTAATATTAAGTACCTCGAGCCAACAGAATATCAGTCAGTTCAATATTGATTCAATATCTAGAAGTCAAGCCAGTGATAAAACACACCCCAGGCCAGGGTCTTACAATATGGAATATGAAACAATCACAACCAGTACATGTGACTTCCCAACATTCCACTTACAGCCTTTGTCAGCACTTAGGAGGGGTATGCTGGTCGGCGTGACCCTCAAGGAGACAGGATTCCACCGGGTACCTGTGCCCTGCCTGAGCTAGAGTACACACCTGTAAGTGCGTCCGGACGAAGGACTTCTTGCCCGTGTAGTCAAAGTTGTTCCTCATCAGGAAGTAGAGCAGCTGGGAAGCGTCGGTCCGGATGGAGCCCAGTTTGGAGTTACAGCACTTGAGCACCTCGTAGCACAGGGAGGCGCACATGTCTGCTCGCCCCTCGTAGAACGTGGAGGGGAACTGGAACAGAGCACAGGGCCGGCAGACCGGCGAGGTCAGCACTCCCAGAGGTCCTCAGCTCCAGGCAGGAGGCGAGAAACCGGGAACCATCAGTACAACTGTGGCCTCAAAGCAACTTACCTTATAAATTAATGACCTTAAGGCGGTAAAGACATTTTTTAAAGCCATTTCTGACTGGTGTTTTTGAAGAAAACACAGGTAGACATCAAAAACTTTCTTCATGAGAGGATTATGTCCATGGTCAGCCAAGAGCTGGTTCTGAAAACACACATTGATGTCAGTGTTAGAGAGGCACGTCTAACATCCTGAAGATGTCACACAACGTAGAGCCGCAAAGACTATCTTCTGAGCACAGTGATAAAAATTTCTGCTACAAGTGGCCCAAGGAAAGCACAGAATGCTCCTGCAGTTCAAGCAAGTCCATCAGAACATGGACCGCTTGGGGCAGGTATTCTAGAGAACTGCAGTATGGCTGACAGGCTCAGTGCTAACTGCTTACACACACGTATTTTAATGGCTGACTCTGGAGGTGATATTTGGGGGTGTCTTACTTCTAATGGGGTGCCATTACAGGTGTCAGTGTACTGATGGGCGGGGACAACCCTGAAGTAAGGACCATGAATCCTGTCCTCCCAAAGTGACGTCCTTGCCTAGCCTGGCATCCTGGGCATTCAGCTTTGCTATAATCAGACAGTTTGGAGGGAAGCATGCATAGGCTTGGTCAGGCACCACACAGGTAAACTGAGTCTGACGCTCTCGTTTGTGAGTCAGCAACTCTAAAACTACCTGTTATTCCAACCGTGACAAACCGAGGTCAGAAATCCCAGAATGGAGAAAGGAGGTAGGTACAGACCCAGCCACAGAGCAACCACCAGTTATTAGCGGCAGGAGAGGGAGGGTGTCCAGGATGCTCTTGGGCTATAAGAAGCCTTTCTGCCTGTGAGCCTGCTCTGCACAGGTCCTTCCTCCAAAGTCTCCTGCCTCTTCACAGGGCAGGGTCCAGTCAGAGAGCAAGGAGACACGCTGCCACTGCTGCTCAGAGACTAAAGGATCTGTGCTCAACACAAATACAATGCACATGGCTGACCACATTCACACCCAGAACCGTCACTGCCTAGACTTTCACACTAAAATTATACAGAGAGAGAGAGATTCCAAGATCTCTCTGTGGTTCCAGTAGAGCGTGCTTCTCCAACCGTGGGGTTTAGACCTTACACTCGGAGCTTCTAATTTATCATGTTAGGGCCTGGGCCAGAGAACTGACATTTCTAGTTAGTTTCCATGAGTGGCAGCCACAGGGGGAGGCCTCCATGAAAGCAGACATTGCTCCTACGGATGCATTTGTTGAGTGTGGGTATTCCCGTGTCTCAACTGAGTTCCTAGTAACATGCTTAATGGGGGACAGGAGAGCTTGGCACCTAAGGAGAGAATACACTATAGTAACATATGACATGATATTGAAGGGAGATCATTATTTTTAGTGTCACTAGTAAAGCAAAAGCAATTCTTTTAAGCTAGTCTCATGTAGCCCAGGCTGGCCTCGCCCTCTATGTAGACAAGGATGACCTTGAACTTGTGATCCTCCATCTCTATCTCCCAGGTGATAGGATCACATGCACACACTGCCACATCTGGACTGGGATACTGGCGATCAAACCTAGAGCCTCATGCATTCTAGGCAAATACTGCAACAACCAAGCTATGCCCTCAGCCCAAGAAGTGTGTTTCACAATAAGTAGAGAAAACACAACAGAGCATGACCCTGGATACAGTTCCCTAATACCCTTGTAATTAAACATATGGCTCCAATTCTCATAGATATTAACACCAACTCAATGTCTGTTTCTATACTAGAAATAGAAGGGACCGTTGACTGGAAGTGTTAGGCTCCTAACAGGACAGAACACGGTGCAATGGTGTATCTGTATAAATATATCACAATTAAACCCATCATGTTGTATACTAACTAAAAAATGTTTTTTAAACTGGGTTTGTACCTCTCCTTCCTACAAAAAAAAAAAAAAAAATACAGGGAGACTTGCAGAACCCTGCACAGTGACTTAATTATTATTTGCTATATTTAAGAACAAGACCAAAACTCTTTCATTTCTTTTCCATGACATGCTTTCGCCATTTAATTTAGTAATAAATGAATAATTTGAAAAGATGAGTTTACACTTAACTCACCTCTCTCTTTAAATATCTAATTGAAGACATTTGGCTTTGCTTAAGATACTCAGAGCAGAAACGTCTGGTTAGCTTCCCACATTTATCATACGGAGGGCTTAGGATAAACACTTTCTTCTAGCCAAGACAGCTGCCTCCAGGGACAGCTTCTGCTGTGGGCCGCTTAAGCTTTATTCTATATAAGAACGGGAACTGCAGTCACTCACTACAGAAAGCTTTTAAGGGAGCCTAGAGATTAGCAGTCTCCTTATAGGAGCAAAAGCCGCTGAAGAAAAAACACACCAGGCATGCGTGTTGGTTGAGCTTTATAAGCAGTGGACTTAGCAGGTAAAAACTCTGACCTTGAACAGCGTGTGTCTGATACAAACCTTAAAAGCCAGTGTGAACAGAGAGAGCGTGTCCAGAGTGGTGAGGCAAACCTCGGTAGCAATGTTGGCTTCGAGAAGTGACTGGTGAAGGACGTCCGCCTCTGAGTGGCCATAGCCTGTGTGAATCGACACAGCGTTACTGTCTTGGGGTTCAGGCGACAGGTCTGGTGGGATCCACAGTGACAGTCAACTCTGGATTATTTACAGAAGGCCCTTTTCTCCGGGCCCATCGCCCTTCGCTTATGTAGGGAGTTGGCATTTTAACAATGTTTCCATTCAGTGATGCCTCCTTTCCAACTCTGGAGACTCAGTGACAGCAGCAGCCATTTACAGTGTGCTCGCTGGGTGTCAGCTGAGTCTGGGAATGCCATCATGGTATTATCTCGTCACTCAGCAGCCCTGGGAAGCATGCACCTCGTTAAATACCCTTTGCAGACAAGGGAAGAGGCACAGGGGAGCTGCAGGGCCTGACCGAGGTCATCAGGTGGTAAGGTGGTAGTGCTGGCACACCCACCCAGACCAGCTGCAGCCCACCGGGGCATGACTGAGATGGGACTGAAGGCTGGCCACTGCACCGAGACCTACAACTTACTCTCTGGTGTCAGGCAAGTCAGCTGACCCTTTCACACTTCCTGGCATTCCCATCTGCAGACCAGAGACAAAGTATCCACACTTCAAAGGGCTGTAGTGAGGATAAATTCATCAGTATTGGGAAGTTCACAGAAATGTGCCAGGACAAAGTGAGTGACATAAAACATTAAGTCAGTAGCACCAAGGCCCGCATTTAGTAGAATCATGAGTGATAATCAAGAGTTGACTGCACTGTAAATGGTCTTCTACTTGCTTTAATAAAAAGCATAAAAGCCAATATATTGGAAAGAAATGCTGATGGAAAGGAAAGGACCAGAAAGACCTGTCAGGTAAATTTAGCTTCATCATATACAATTTAAACATAAACTGCAATCTTCAACAGTGGTGGCAAAATCAATTTAGTAATGATATAAATGCAATTTGGCATACAATTTGAGATATTAAACGATGAAATGGAATGCATTAGCAGAAACACATGAAGAGGATGTAAAGATGTTACCATGGTGTCTAGTTTATCCAGAGAGATGGCAATACAACAGGACATAATGTAATGACTTTCTCCAGGAGTGACAGAGAAAGCAACACTTACTAATTGGTCTTTTCTTTTTTGTTAATACTCCAAAGAGGAGACATTAGTTCACAGGTCAGAAAAATATAGAAAACTGATAGAATTTCCTTGAGATTACTAATGGGAACCCCCCCTACCTCACCCCACCCCCACCCTGAAGTTATACTGCAAATTCCTTTCTGGGTCACTACATCAGAGGACTGATACAGTCGAATAAGAGGGAAAGAGAATAGCTGGACCTTGTGCTGACCGAAGGAAATGTGAGAATCACAGTTCTGCAAATGCTAGAGAGGAGCTTTTAAAGGCACGGAGGATGCTAGAGAGGAGCTTTTAAAGCCACGGAGCTGCTCTGAGCCTGCCATGCAAACACTATCAAGCGTATTCATTCAACTCTGCTTTTCAACAGGTAGTTCTGAGCTTTTATGTCTGTGGTTCTCTGTTCTCCTGCGTCAGGGCTATCTCCCTCTTCATGAGGATATAGAATATATTTAACACCATGTTAATTCCAATCTTTTTTTTTTTTTTGGTTTGTCCATTTTTAAAGATTTATTTATTTACTATGCATACAGTGTTCTGCCTGCATGTATGCCTGCACTCCAGAAGAGGGCATCAGATCTCACTACAGATGGCTGTGAGCCATCATGTGGTTGCTGGGAATTGAACTCAGGACCTCTGGAAGAGCAGCCAGTGCTCTTAACCACTGAGACACCTCTCCAGCCCTTGTTGGTCTGTTTTTGAACACGCAGTTGTCTAGAGAAAAGAAAGATGGCTGTCTGGGGGTACTAATGCCCCTGCACTGCCTTTGCATAAACCAAGGCTTTCCTTTGGGGGGTGGGGTGGGGTGGTGTGGGGTAAGATACAGGGACAGAACCCAAAACATCGACACCTGTGATCAGGCCAGCCAAAACATTCCCACAGACCCCAGGGACCTTTAAGGAAGCTGCTGTCCACTCCCAGGGAGTTGTGGTCTGGGTTAAGTTTGAAAAGAATGTGGTTTAGTGGTGACCTTATTTCTTTTTCTTTATAGAATTGCCACTTTCTCTCTGTAAAACATTCAGACTAAGTGCATGCAGGCAGCCATCATTAATGAGATGGCCTCTCCTGAGCAATCCCCACAGCATTGACCTGACCCAAGGCCTGGAAACAGACTCAGAAATTAACATGGGTTGTTTTAAAAACATAGAACCAATGTGCCAGGCTACTTAAGTGACAGAATGATGTACACATGTACAGAAACATGGCAATGACAAGAGAGCCATGATACCATCTATCAATCTCTTGGGGTCAGCAAGAATGGGGGTGTGGAGATGGGTACTGGGGGTGGGTGCATGTATGAGAACAGTATAATGATATCCAGGTATGAAAATGTCATAATGAAACCCATTTATTCTGTACATTAATAAAACATGAATTAAAAGTCACAAAAATGAAACCAAACCCAAAGAAAAGGGATTAAGCCAGATTTGTGGAGAATGAGTCTGTCTGGGTCACGTGGAAACCTGTCCTCTCAGCTTGTCACACGGCCTTAACTGAGCAGAGTTCTTAAACTAGTGTTCATCTTTTTAAAATCCCTAACGCTAAATGGCAGCTCAGACTGTCCTCAGTCACACCTGAGACAGAACGTCCCAGGAAGACACTACCAACAGTCACACTAGAGAACACAGGAAAAGGAAGCATTAGTAAGTCCCAGAGCGGTCTCAGAGACCAAGATTTCCTAACTGAAGGCTGAGGTGAGAGGTACGGTCTTTCTCAGGGTGTCTCACTGGCCTGGGGCCCACCAAACATGCCAGGCTGGCTAATCCGTAAGCCCTAGGGAGTCACCTGTCCTTGACAAGTGTGCCACCACCACCATACACGGCTGTTTTTGTTCTGTTGTGAGGTCTAGGGATCAAACTCAGATCCCCATGCTTGCCTGCAGGACTTCGCTAGGCTATGTCCCAGACCAAAGCTCAGCCAAGAGTGTTGTGATTACTACTGCTCCCACTAGGAGGCAATAGCACACTGCAGCCCGGTGTGGATCCCCTCCACCCTTGCTCAGCCTACAGGAGCAACAGGACTTCACCACACGGTGGCATGTTGTGGGCTGTTTGGGAAGTCCTCAGCATTCACACCTCAAACTTATAAAACTTTCAAACCACTGTCACGCCTATGATAAGACTTGTTTTAATTTTAAAATTGTGTATTTGTGTGTGGTGTGAGCATGCATGGAGGCAGAGGCAAACACTGCATGCCTTCCTCCACTGCTTTACGTTTTAGTAAGAAAATTTAAAACTACGTTTCTTTCCTTGAAGATCACATGGGCGTGCATGTTTGGAGGGAGAGGGCCATCTGCAGAAGTGAGCTCTCTCTTTCCACCACGTGGGCCTGGAGATCAAACTCCAGGCTTAGTGGCAAGCGCCTTTAGCGGCCGAGCAATCTCCCCGCCCATCTCCAACTCAGTTCTTCAGGCAGGGCCTCGAATGAACCTGGAGCTTGCTGCACTGGCTAGAGTGGCTGGCCAGTGAGCCCTTAGGGTCCTCCTGCCTCCATACACCCAGGGCTGGGGTTACCGATGCATACCAGCTTTTATGTGGATACTGGGAATCTCAACCTGGGTCTTCATGTTTATATAGTAAGTACTTCTCCAACAGAGCCACGGCCCAGCACAGAGCTGTGGAGGCCTACGAAGTTTCCCAGTGAGATCTGAGCTTTACCCAGCAGGGCTGCATTAGAGGATGGCTTGACCACATGCATGGTTACCAGGTGATGGGGAGGGTCTGCACCTGGCTGTGCTGGGGGAGGTCTTTGCTCCACCCCTTGGCATTCCTTTAAAAAGGCCTTTAGAAGAGACAGAAGGGGCCAGTGGATAAGGATCCAGGCCCTCCTGAGCTGTCCTGTGCTTCTGTCTGTCTCTCTCCCTTCTATCCTTCTATCTAAACATTTCTCACTTCTCCTTCCCCAAGAGTACCTTGGGTTAAGAGTGGGAGCAGGTCTCCCACACAAACCAAGACTTGTTTTAAAACCTCAAAGTATTTTGAACACTCAGAGGCCAAAAATGAGCATCCCTCCATGTCATTTGTTAGGTTTAGATTTAATTAACCCGACTGTAGTTTACAAATCCCCCTTGCCTGATAGCTCCACTAACCCCGCTGACTCTATCCGTAACTTCACCAGAGTGGTTGGGGCAGGAGCCCCGGAGCCACATCCGCCTTCTGATGGTCAGGACGTGTAAGCAGTCAGACCCGCAGCCCCTTGGGCTGTGTTTCCATTTCTATGGTTGCCTGTCCTCTATGGAGCCAAATTCTGTATTTTTATTTTGACTTCCCCGCTTCTGGATCACAATACAAATCCAGAAAAATAGTAAGCCTGGGGGTATAAAACAAACATGAAATGACAAGGACTCTTTCTTGCTGAAAGGATTCCTCAGATGGGGATCTGACCATCTCAGATACGTTAACTAATCTCATATGGCTTTCGGAGGTGCCAACATATTTTTTTTTTTTTTTTTTTTTTTTTTGGTTTTTTGAGACAGGGTTTCTCTGTGTAGCTTTGCGCCTTTCCTGGGACTCACTTGGTAGCCCAGGCTGGCCTCGAACTCACAGAGATCCGCCTGGCTCTGCCTCCCGAGTGCTGGGATTAAAGGCGTGCGCCACCACCGCCCGGCGCCAACATATTTTATGTAAAAAACATAAACATGATCAAAGGTCAGCTATTCACCCCTCCCATTTAATCGCCAAGAAGGTTTTCCTCACAGATGAGCAAGGGTATAGAATAAAGAAAAATATTCTATGGCAAAATGGTATCATTTGCCAGCTCCCCATGATTCACATAAGAAAACAGACATGCTCAGAGTTGTCTGTGGCCAAATCCATGAGGTACAAGCTCACACTAATCACAGCATGGGCTTTCTCTTCTTCGAGGAAAACTGCGGAATAAAGGCTACCTGAATCTGAAAATGGCACTAAGTATACAGCCTCAAACTGTGAAGGCACCTGAAGACCGTGGGACACATGTTCATGTCCTTTCTAAGGACATCAAAACAGCTAACCTCAGGCAGGAATTGCGCCTTTCATTCTTAACTCTGAGTCAATTCAGTTGCATTAAACACTAATTACTGATAGACTGCCATCTCAGATGACCTATTAAGTTACACTGCGGGCAGCACACACGGTGGATTTCCCCACATCCTTCTCTCTGGAGAGTTAGGGAAGAGCACCGGCAGCCAGGCCTAAGAAGACTGGCTTGTCCAGGCCTCTGCTGCCCCCTGCTGACAAGCTGACGTCTGATACAAAGGGAAGAAACTGCCACTCAGAGATCCTCACCTTAGTTTCTGCATGTCCCGGGCAGGCTGCCCACTTACGGGCTCTACATCATATTGGCTGGATTAGCAGAAGATGCTGTATTTACTGCTACATAAGATTTTTTTTTTAATTTTTTTCAAAAGGACACCCATGTCCCCAAGCTTCCCCAGAATACCTAGGTAGAGATGAGCCGGTATGTATGCATACATGTAAGTCATATACATTGTACACATAATACAGTAGAAATTCATTCTTTTTGCAGGTTTTTGACCAAATTCCACGTGGAGCTGAAACAGGTGTTGGCAGGAAAGGCTAACGCCACCTAATCTGAACTAAAGCTCGAGAGAAAGACCGAGTCCTGGAAGATGCGATGAAGAGAAACTCAGCAAACGGGAGAAACGATTCAGGAAGAGGGACTGTGGAGACACAAGCGAAGGCCAAGGGATCGAAGAAGAACACTACTTCCTGGCAAAGCCGGAAAAGACGTGACTGAGGACAGTGTGACGGGAAGACAGGGATGCCAGCGTCAATGCGGGCTGCAGGGAGAGAAAGCAACTGCAATGGCATGCTGATTTTGCAGCAGCCCAGCCCGCTGTCTCTGTCCTGCACCTCGAGCTCCTGCTGCTGCATCCATCTGCAGGGAGAGGCGGCCTCCCCGATGCTCTGTCACCACTCTTCACCTGACAGTGGCTATCTCTAGAGTCGGGGCCTTCGCTCACTTGTGCAAAAACCCTCCAATGTTTCTGCATTTACTTCAGCGGATAGTAAGTTACTGTTAATAATCTGGGAAAAGGGGACTCCAACAGGGGACTGCATTTCTACTGCAAAACAGGAAATGAAAAGTAAAAAATAACAAAGCTCCTGGCTTTCATTGCTTTAACTTATTGTTCATCGCGCCCAATAGACAAAGAGTTGAAAATGCAGGCATTACAGCCTCAAATGTATCATCAATGTGCATCCTACTCCTAAGTGTAAGAGCGCAGACCCAGCATTTGGGGGCTCTCAGTCCAGTGAGTGGCGGGCTGACATGGCACTGGTCTAAGACCCCTGGGGTGAGACTGTGAGGGTTTAACTTTGTTGGTGGAAGTGTGGGAAGCTGCTGCATTGGTTTGTTGCTTTGCTTTGTGTGCTTTTAAAAAAAGGTATGTATATGGATGTCTTTGTCTGCATGTATGTCTGTGTACCACATCTAGGCCAGAAGTCCCTGGGACTGGAGTTACAGACGGTTTTGAGCTACCATGTGGGCACTGAGAATCAAAACCAGGTCCTCTGGAGGAACAGACAATGCTCTCAACCACTGAGCCATCTCTCCAGTCCAAATTTTGTATGTGTTTTTGACACAGGATATCACCATGTAACTTTGGCTGGCCTCAAATTCAATATATAGAGTATGCTAGCCTTGAGCTCACAGAGAGCCATCCACCTGCTTCTGCCTCCTGAGGGCTGGTATTCAAGGTGAGTGCCACCACACCTGAGAAGCACTGTATTTTGATTCCTCACTTCATGTTACCTTTCTTGGGACTATTTCCAATACAAGGTGGTGGGAATATTGGTCTTTATGCTGAGCCTGCATGAAGAAAAAGGTATGACAGCCGCAGCAGATGGAATTATTGTGATTAGGGATGATGGGAAGATATTAAGAACCATGTATTAAAGACAGTGCTGGGCATGAGAGCACGTGGTTGTCTAGATCAGGAACCAGCTATGTCAAGCTTGAGAGGAGGAGGGACAGTCTTGAGAAAACAACAGACATAGAAGACGGACCCCACAGATGGTCATAGTCATTTCTCGTGTGCTGCGTGGCTAGTTAGGTTTTCTGCTCTGAGAAACCCTTAGGTAGATTAAAACACTGAAACGCCTGTAAGCAGCACATGAAGCTGTTTGGGCGACTGACGGAAGTAATTCAAAGGATGGTCCCACGTACTAGCAGAATCTCTACTGTGAAGTTAGGAAAGCCCACAGTTAGGAAGGCAAGATGAAGGAAAAGTCTCGGTTGCAAGTGAAGCGGCCTGGGAGGCAGACCCCAACCTGATTAAGTCTTACCATTGTCTACAGAAATCCCAAGCACACTTGATATCTTTCTCACACTGAAAACACAGAAAAAGTCACTTTGTTACTGGATGCTTTTCCACACCCTTGCAGACTGACTCACGGGCTTAACATTCATTTGCAGGCGGAATGTCAGAATGTGGGCGCCCAACCAATTACACACACCGGGCAGGAGAGGCAAACGGCTATGACCCAGATGTGCCAGGAGGGGGTGGGGTGGGGATAAAATCAAATGCATGCAGGAAATTTAAAATACAGGATGATGTCTGGCCATCAACTCTGCTACATTTTGTCTGGAGTTGGGGCAAAGTGTCTAAGCATTTTCAGATGGTGCCGTAGTTGATTGGGTTCCACATTCTGTCACCCCCCACTGCTCAGGACTCTCCTCCAAGGAAGGGAACTCTTCTTCCTAATTGTTTTGCTCTGGAAGAAAAATCAAGTTGGTGATGTGGTGCGGTGCGGCTGGGGCTGTCCCCTCTGAGACGGCACAGAGACGGCTGGCTGTTACGATGGTATGGCATGGGACTTACTGTGGTTAAAAGTGACAGAGTTATCCAGGCTGCCCAGCTGCTGCAATCTGGCATGCATCATTCCTGTTCTGTTACGGGAAACAGGCAATGTCTGAGACTTTCGGTCATGACCTATGGGTCCCAACCCCTCCTGGTTCCTGTAACGTGAGTGAAATGGGACAGAAGCAAACGTTAGGTGTGTTACAACAGCGAGACAGGAGCATTAGTCAGGCTGAGACACGCACAGGAGCAGCGGGGCTGCATGAAGCCAAGTGGCCAGGGACACAGACAGCCGGCAGCTCCGACACAGGGCACAGCAAAGCACTCCGAAGGAGCAAACTCTAGCCAGGGCGCCGAGCCTTTCTCACTCTGAGAAAGTACGGTGGAGATGCGACTTTTCCAAACAAAGAGCACTGCTCCAGTGTGGAGGTAACGGTCAGCATCCGACAACTAAGGGAACGCTGCAAACCTCTCTGAATTATACGTGGCGTGAGCAAAACTTTATTCTAATCAAACAACGCACCGGAAGAAGCAGAGGGCGCATGCGATGGTAGGGTTACATGAGTCAGTGGAACACCTGCATTCTTACCCAAGCAGGAGGAAGTGCCACACACTTGGTTAAACTTGTCAGGCAGCGGAGTAGAGAAAACAGACATGTGTGTGGTTAGCAATCAGCTCCCTTCCCTACGGCGTACCATCACCAGAGCAGACGGAACCAGACTCTGACACCTGTCCCCGTCCCGGACCAACCATGCCCCTGACTGTGTTACTGTGTGGACAGCAGGGACATGCATGGACTTTCATTGACAGCATGCTGCTGGGTCCCTTCCCGGTGACAAGGAGAAGGCACAGTGTTCACACAACCACACCACTGTGGACGGCAAACACTGACAACGTTCTTGTCATGGTTCGAGATCGTGGTCACATGCAGCAGAGACCATGACAATGTTTGTATAAAGCGGGGTGTTGTCTTTCCACAGTGCAAGGAACAACATAAACCCCGCCTTGACTCCCGCCTCCCCGTCCATCCACGCGTAATTAGTCCATATTCTATGCAAATATATACAGGGGCTTACAAAGTGACAGATTTTCTTCCAGAAGCTAAATTTATATCCACTATGGGGAGGGAGAAGAAAGAACCACTTTACAAATTCTTCTGAAATATTTTGTCAGGGAGGAACCAGCAGCTTCCCACAGTTACGGTTTGGGCTCAGGGATGCTAGGCTACTGGGCAGGACACTGTCCAGACGCCCTACTGTGGTGTAACTGGCAGAGATCGCCACGAAGGGGTGACAGCTGCCAAGCATGGACGGAGCTTTTGGCGGTGAGCAGATGCCTCTGCCCATCCTCACAGGGCAGTGCAGGAGCCGGAAGTCAAGGCGTGCTGGCTGACACAAAGCACCCTGGATATACTTGCATTTTGTACTCACAATCAAACACAAAATTACAGTAGTGAGAAAAACAGAGGTTAAGGCTAGGGAACTTTAAAACTACCACATTTCAATTAAAACAAAATATTAATGAGAGGAAAGTGTAAAATGATCTCACTAAATTTGTTTCTTCTTAAAAGAGGACACAAGCTTTCATTTCTTAACATAAAACATAATAATCCTGAAAAGTTCTCAGATATCTCCAGAAGGGACAGTACCGGCGTAAAAAGCCAACCACACTCAAACACAGTGTCTATTAATTAATGTCAGTTCTGTTTCACTGCTATAAACCATAAGAAAAACAAATCTCAATTAAAACTAGACTTGGCAGACTTTCTTAAAACAAATGTAGTTTGCTTATAATCAAACTGTTAAAAAACAACAGGATGATGCTTTGAAGGACCCCACCCCACCCCCAACACAGAAAGACACACAGCAGGTACACAGGGTGGCGACAGGGCAGGGGAAGGGCCTGGTAACGAGCTGTGCTGGGAGGAAATGCCCCGGGGGCTGTCGGCCATACATCTGTGAGGAACCTCCAGCACTCCTGAGATGGGAGAGAGTGTAGGCAGGCCAGGCCAGTGGGGAGACAGGACACTCAGCAGAGTTCTGATGAGACAAGAACACAGGCACTCACTGAGTGGTCAGAACAAAGGAAAGGCTCCATTTTAAAGGCCAGTGACACAGGATGAAAACATCCTCTCTATGACGAACAAGAAAAAGGGACATTGCGTCTTCTTGGTTGGGAGCAGGGACAATGTTAAAGCCAGACAGGACAAGAACTGACTGAAGAAGCCGAGAACACAGGACAGGAAGTATGGAGAAGAGAAAGAGAAGGAGGTGAAAGCGTGTTAGAATCTGGGGGGAACTTAGAGACAGTACCCTAAAGATGATCTCCTGGGAGGGGAACGAGACCAAACCAGACAGGAGGAATGCAGGAATGCTGACAGAGACTTCTGGACCATTCCATGGTAGCAACCTAAGGTGGTTGGCTGCTTATGTGAGCCCCGGCTGCCAGCCACCACAGACGGCCCATTCTCACACAGCCTCACAGAACGCGACACTACATTTCCCAGGTCGTCCCACAGTACCTGGCTATGTAGCGCTTCCCCATGTACTGGAACTGGTGCAGGCAGACTCTGCGGACAAGACAACCATTAGAGGAGGTGCCGTTAAAACCGTGCCCTCGCTTTCAGGAATTTTCTGTAAGGTCCTCCGCCCAGAGAAAAGCATTAGCACATCGGGGAGGCGCGCACACACGTGCAGCCATCAGAGCTGAGGTCACGGGTGGAGCAGAACAGAATAAAGGTTTTCATCCACCCCCTCAGGGCTGGCAGACTCCCCCACGGCAGTGTGCCTTGGAGTGTGTTGGAGACCTTCCACGTCACGGTGTTACTGTTCCTCCTCGCTGGAGTCCATCCATACAAGGAGCTCTCTCTTTCGGCTCAAGCATATGGAATGGCCCCTTACAGGCATCAAGAGCCGCAACACTGAACCTTTAAAAACCACGCCTTTTAATGAGAGGTAACTAATACAACGAGCTCTCCGGGCTCAGGCGCGACAATTTCACCACTGAAGTCAGCCATGGGACTGGCCCCTCCTGTCAGCAGGACAGGACCCTGGCCTTCCCCTCACAGTTTTAATACACACAAAGCCCGGAGAACAAGGGTCCCACGTGAGTTTCTTTAAACATATTCTGTACCAAACTAACCAACACAGAGCTGCTTAAGTTATCATGTGTCAAGTACAAACTGAATAATCATAAAGAACTGAAATTTCTCTTTCTTTTACCTCGGTATAGCGTGTTTGACCGAGTGAGATGCTATTATAGGCTGATAAACCCAAAGTGTAAACTTTCAAAAGCAGCCCACATTCTGAGTTTGAAAAATTATCTGCCCTTAGCAGTTTTAGATAAAGTGCAATGGATCTGTGTTTCTAAGAATAAAGAGCTTAAATGAAATCAGAAACTCATCCCGAGTAGATAAGATGGTTCTAGATTTAACATAAAAACAAAACAAAACAGTAGCCACCAATGCCGTGAAAACATTTTGCACCATTTTATCTAAGTAGCTTAAGCACAAAGGCTTCTCAGCAACCACAAGCAATTATTTATGTATCTTAAGGCGGGCCACTGGTGACTGACTCACGAAGGAAGCTATGTGCCATGCACTGCATCCTGCCCGCGGACACGTTTCCCCCACACTTCCCAGCTGGAAAGGTAAGAGGGGACAGGTAAAGAAAACCACTCACTCGGATATTGTAAAGAAGTCCATCAGCTCAGCGGTTGAAGCCTTGTTCCAGTATGTAAACAGCGCATCTAAAATAAGCATTTATTTGGTCAGAATCACAATATACATTATATACACATACATATACATACATACATTCATATATATATATACATACATACATATATATACATAAAATGGAAAATCACTTATGACATTGGGGATAGACTCCAGAGCCCAGGTCTCCATCACTGCCTATTTTATATTTTACCAAAAGGCAAACCACACTGGTGGGCTCTCCTGGATAATACACACAGCAGGCTTATTCAACATTTGAACTCCTGAACTTTCATAATAAATTACCTAGTGTTATATTATAGTACAAGCCCATCCATTTAACTTGTACATAATGTGCTCTTAAACAGACTAGAAAATCTGAAGACCGTAAGAGGCCATAATAATCCACAGCCAGCCTCCCCATTTCCTTCCATAGGACCCTTCCCTCCTCTTCATGGACCTGTTGAAAATGAAAACACGTGCTGTTTTGTTTATGTGTGTCTGTGTTGGGTATGTGAGTGCAGGTGCCTCTGGAGGCCAGACAGCATCTCATCCCTGGAGCTGGAGTTACAGGCTGTTGTGAGCTGTCCAGTGTAGGTGCTGGGAACTGAACTCGGGTCCTCTGCAGGAGCAGCACCTGCTCGTAACAGCTGAGCCCTCTCTCTGGCCCCTGCCTTTGAGTTTTAAAAGAACAATACAAACTGGTCCTACCCAGATGTTTCCAAGCTGCCGAGTATCCTCTATGGGCTACCGTGACAGAATTAACCAGTTTCTATTGGTGGACATTATGGCATGGCTGCTTTTCTTTCTAAGCTTATTCTAGTATAAACATCCTTTGCTGAACACACTGTCCCATGGGGTTTTCACATGCATGACCGGTTACAGGAGAAATTCTTGAAATTGATACAGGATAATCAATGCTTAAACATTGAGATCTGTGTGAACCCTCTTGACTGGGCACTGTACAAGAGTACTCGCATCTGATATGTCCTACATGACACTGAAAACCAGGAAAATGACTCAGTCCTTGTAGGCTGCAATGAGCACAGAGACCAATGGCTGTAGGTCTGTATTCTACATTCACCAGGGGCAGGGACAGGAAGGGAAGACATGGGTATATGGCAAGAAACTGTGCCAGGCTGTGCCAGGTGCTGTCCCAATTTCACAGGAATGCTGTCATCCAATCCTCACTCTGATCCCACACGGACGACTTAAGTGCTCACCTATAGATGTACCATCAGAGGCTCCGGGAAGCTAAGTACATCTCCCATTTACCTACCTAAAGAATCATGGCTGAAGTGGTCACAATTCTAGGCCAGGTTTGATGCATTTGACTAACATTACGGGTGTGAGCTTCCACTTGGAGGGTTCTGAGCTCAGACAGACAAACTGGTGAGTTGAGGCTAGTCACCTCAGATGGCTCAGCTGTTTTCCTGGTGAGGAAGCCCTGAGGAGCCTCACAGTGGCCCAGCATGCATCTGTGGCCACCACTAGCACACACCAGACAGAACAGCCAATGGCCAGCAGTACTTCGGACAGTCCTGGCTCTGGATTCAGGCTACTCAAGAATGAAGGGGTTTGAGGAAACACAGGGCACATGGACTCACTGAGGTGGAGAAGGAAAGGGCGGGAGCGTCTACAGCGCAGTAAGCCGTCTGGTAAGCCGTCCTCTGGGCCCTTTTCTCCCTCGTCTCTACTCCACACGTACAAACCCAGACCACACAGATTTCTAGGGCTGACTGAAAACTTTTAATGCTACCCTTCAAAGAAAATATGGAGAATATTTTTTATGACCCTGGATTTCTAGAATGGGACGTATCTGGAAGCCCTGGTTTCAATCTTTATCACGGCATAAACTGGAAACCAGGTGTGGTAGCCTGTGCCTAATCCCAGGGCTCTGGACGTGAAAGTAGGAGAATCAGAAGTTCAAAGTCACTCTTAGCCACAAAAGTCCAGCTTGGGCTATGTGAAACACTAGATTAAACCCCAAATGCCCCATTTCCACGTCAGAATTTGTTTTCTAGAATAAAAGTAACTGATTTTCTACTCCGATACTTCTATTTCTACTGCATTTAGCAAATTAACACACATTAAAAACGAAGATGAAATTCTCTTAAATATTTGAAACTTTTTCAACTAAATGCCACCTAAAATGATTCCCTGAGACCAGGAGGGCAGCGGCTGTCCTCACTGCACCCACCGTCGGACATGCTTTTCAGCACGTAGAGGAAGCACATCAGCAGACTCTTAATCTCGGACTGGTCCAGTTTGTCACAGCGAACCACAGGATTTCCCAGCGTGCCACTCTGCTGATGCTGAAAGGAGACGCAGGTGAGTTCTCTACCTGGCGATGCACACACCTCCCTCTGAAGAAACAGATTCTTTAGCTTTCAGGCAGAGCATACAAACTGCAAAGAACTGGTAACCCACAGGCACAACTTCACACAAAGACACCTCTCCCCAGGTGTGACACACAACTGCTGCTGCCTCCAGCTCTGAGGGACAAGCCGGAGGGCACAAACCTTTCACACCCCAGGAACAGCTTTCATTATGCCAAGTGTGTGTGTGGGGGGAATCTTCTGAAATGCCAAGTAAAATCTCATGCAAAAAACCAAACGCATGTCCACGAGGATCCACTCTGGGAGGGAGGACTCCGAAGGCACCACGTAACCCTCACCTCAGAACAGCAAGGTGAGCCTGAGGAGCGGCTACGCACCAGCCCAGAAGCCTGCTGCTGAGGCTTGCCATTCAGGGCACAGCATTGGTGTGCTGTGGGAGTGGATGGAGAAACACATGACAGACACCCAAAAGGACACACAGGGACACACAGCACTGCCGACCACCCTAAACGGGTGAGGCCGCTCCTCAGTCAGCTTATTGATACAGCAATATCAGAAAGCTGGGGGCTGAGGATGAGGCCAGTTTTACCACTAGGAAGCAGCAGGCTCAGGTTCACATCGAAACAGCTGAGTAAGAATCTTAGCTCCCGTTTAAGGGCACAGAAGGCTAAAAACAACTCTTCAGGCTGTATTTCAAATTTAAATCAAGTTTTGTTTTTTTTTTTGCCAAGTACCAAATGAAAAAAAATTATCGAAAAACATGTTTTTTCAAGGTGTTGGTGGTCAACTGAGAAAAAAATATATATGTATATGTGTATGTACATATATATATATATAATGAGCAGGTTCAACTAACAAGATGTGCGATTGTTTTTTATGTAAGGAAGAAACACAGCTGTCATTAGTGGTAAAAGTGTGGGGTGTCATCGCGCCCTGAACCGTGTAGAGAGCTGCAAGGGAACTCAGTACTTCTTGCAGGGAGAAGACGGGTGCAGCATGCAAAGTCTCCTCTGGCAAAGGTGGAATTGTCAGAAGGGAAAAGTCCACGGTGACCCGGTTTTTCCTGGCTGACTGACAGCTCTCCTCCTCTCCAGCACTGGGCACAACACAAGCGGAGTGCCTCCGGAGCAGCTTGTCCCTCTACACACGAAGGCATGTTGGGGTCAAGGGAAAAGTTCAACACATCATGACAAGCCCAGACTGAGACAGCCACGTCTCGACACACGTGTGCTTAAAGATAACCGTGGCGACGCCCGTCACAGAATCTGTGACAAGGTCACAAACCTGATGCTGAGGTTGAGGAAGGATGTCCTGGGAAAGAGGAACACATCCCCAAATGCCTGTTTAGTGGCAGAAGCTTTCTTATAACTTGAAGTAACTTAGGGATACAGAGCCCCAAGAAATACCAATCTACCAGGTTCCCGGTTAATATCAACCTTTATCTTTTCCTACAAGGTTCTAGGAAGGCTGAGGCTGCAGTAATGTGAACAGGAAAGATTTGGTGGAATGAAGAGAGTGTGTGTTAGGAGTGGGCACAGTGTAACTAGAG